ATGGCTTGGTTTATTTTTGCCTTGTTCCGGTAATTGTTGTTTTACTTTTGGGTTACACGAGTGCTTCTTGTGTTGTTCACGAATCAGTGAAATGATTGGTTCGCCTGCACAGTAGAATTTATCACAGAAGAAGAACGCTCATTCACTTAGGACTCGCTGGATCATTACTTTGTAATTAATGACGTGATGGTATTTAAAATCACTGCTTGGACATCAACTTCAGCCACCGAAAGACAATGACTTGAGTGATGGCAATTACGTCAGCATATGCTGATCAGGTTGAGGCTCACCAAAATATTGAAACATTTTTCCACTTGTCTTTCGACAAGAAATGGAGAAGTGTATTTGAGTAGATTGCTCCATTTCCTCGATTAGTGATGCCGAAAAAGGCTAAGTAACCTGAGGTTCAGGGACACCCACAGTGGTGATGCTCTATCGCCATAGTTCTAAATGCATCACAAAGGCGATTGATGATGATGATGTTGACGATGCGTTAGTCCAAACAGTATATCAACATAATTTTGTTCAGTTTTCCTAGCCTAGATTATTTTAATCAGTGTGCTGGGCAGCGACCGAGACACTAAAATCACTTCAGAAGTCAGATTACACGGACAAATTTGGAGTAAATACATCATGCAACACATGTGAATCATTAGGCAAACACTCAGTTGATACAACAAATCGGTCTGTTTCATACGAATGGTATTGTGTATAACTTTTCAAGCACTGAAGCTTCCATTTCAGCTACATTTCAGCTTTCATTTCGGCTATTATAGCAAGTACATAATCGGCTTTCTTATATCATGGACCGCATTTTACCTGTCGTTCAGTTCAGCAGTTATCGGTAGAAGACTTTCTCCTCTTGCGGCGTTATAAATTCAAGATTATTTTACGGTCGTTCTAGGAACTCAGGCAACACTCAACACTCAGTGTTTCTGTCACAGACAAACTTTTAGGCTGCTAACTCACATTCATTATTCTCCGGCTTTTGATTACCTGCAATGTCTCTTACTTTATTCTTATTCACGGTGATAGTTTAAACTTTCCCACATAACATTTGCCAATAAATGCTAATTCAATCACCTTAGAATCAAAGTAAACTAAAAATGCTTTACAAAATAAGAAATGATGCAATTCGAATGGCTTTTTTGGTGGACCGTTTTCAACATAAAAGCCATATGCACAAAGAGAAACATTAGCGATCTGTGTGAAAATATCTGTCTTTGAATATATTCGGAGCACTTCCGGGCATCAGGTCTACATGAGGATATAACTATGTAATCTTTATATGCGTATTTTTGATAATTTCTTGAAAATGGTTCCCTGTGCATTGCACTAGTAATGTCATTTTTGGAAAAGTAAAAAGTTTTTCATGATATTTAACCATTTATCGATAATGCACTGTGAGCGTTTTTAGCTATTGCGGGGGACTTTCAAAATTGCCCGGTAATTTAGTTTTTCTAACTTTGGTTCTTTTCCAGAAAACGCATTCATTATCCAACAACACAAGACCTAATACACACAGGATGCTGCCATATCTGAATAAATACCCGGATTCCCCAAACCATCTCTAGCATCGTGTAGTTGATCAGGGGAATTTACAGTCGTGTATTGGAATCCCGACGTTTGTGCTATTTCATTACTATTTCATTATCGAGTCGTGCAACGACTTTTATTTTGCACACTGTTTACGCAAGAGCTTACTACTGAATTAGTCGACCCGATGATTGGTTGTTATCAACTAAAATCGTGAGCTTAGGCGGTATAACTTACGCCCCGTGTGCCAAAGCCCATCGAAAAATCGAACTTGTGGATCGGTAAAAACGATGTAGAATTCCCTTTGCACTCTATGATAGGCAGAGATCTTTTTGGACAACAGTGGTATCCCACAAAAAAATTATGAACCGGGCAAGAGGTTGTAAATAGTGCAAATGAAATTTGTGATATATTTTTAACTTAAAGAAAATAAATCGACATTTTATTATCTCTTCGTTATGACCAATCCCGGTTGTGGTAATAACGATCCCTATTGACGAAGAAGTTGACAACATTGGTAACTCCTTTCATTTAATGTCCACTACAATGAACGGTTTACTTGGGGCCAACCATCATTTACACTTCCTCCTCACACAGCCTTCAGTTCATTTCCCCAACCATGAGCTCACCTGGCACTAGCCTTGGGTCTCGATCTTGCAAGATATCATCCGGACTGCATATCCATCAACCCGTTTAGGTTGGAAAGTCCGAACCCATACCATGGAAGACTTGTGTGATACCACTGCGCAAACCAGCTCAAACTTAGGCTTATCATAATGAACAATTCATGTTTATTCAGATGTTCTAGTCAATGATTTCAAACCAGTTCTTCGGTTTCGATGATGAGATTGATTGCCTGTCAAATCCATTTGAAAGCCTTCCAAGAAATCTTGACTGACTAGAAAATACGTGCAGGAAAAAAAAGAGAAAAATGAAGAAACTGGTTCAGCTGCAATTGAATTTGACTGAAATGAACGTTATACTGTATGATGTTTTTATATCTGTAGGGAAGGGTCCGAGCGCCGCCTTTTTGAGTTGAATGTGATTCGTGTGCATGTCACAGTGAACCTTGCGTTCATGCAAATTTTTGTTTTTCCTCTCTTCTTGGTTTCTCGAAGGCTTTCCACGGACAACCTACTGGCTACAACGTTTCCTATAGGTTCAATGAGATCAGCAGTTTTCGGCCTTCTGTGACGAAGCTATGTGTAAAACGACGCGTAGCATTTTGTCCCGAATTGACCTCCTCCCATTGTATTGATTGTGAAGTGATGGGTTGGTTCTGTCCTTTACACATAGCGCGTAAGCTATCTAACATACCCTTTTAATCGGATTGTGGTAGAAGCCGAGATTTGTTCGTTGTCGAATGTCATTGTATGTCGGGTCTGCTTGAATATTCACATGGGTTTGGATAAAATGGAACAATCTCGCTCGTTAGTGTTTGTGAAACATTCATATTTTGAATGTGTTCACTAGGGTTATGGTGTTTCATGGTTGCTCTCTAAAACTAACTACATATCAGCCTTAGATAGAATAGATGGGGTAAGTTATGTCGGTGAGATTGCGCGAGAAAAAATGCATGACATGCATGCATCTCTTCAATTAACAAGCTCATTTGTGTAATCTGCGTGAAATTGTGCCATAATAATGCATGTTTATTGTTCAATAAGGTGAACTCTTGAAGGAATTTATTGCTTGGCGGTCAGTTAAGCGAACAGAACAATCACTATTGATATCTTACATGTTCATTGTATAGAGACTCATAAAAAAGTACCTGACGAAGTTATATTTATCAGAAATAGTAAATCTAGTTTCCGTAGAAGGTGCTCATTGTCGCTGGTGGTATATGCAATATAAAACAATAACAACCGATATCATGGTAAGAATCCATTTTTTTCTAAACAGTAATCGAAAGGAAGGATGTCATCGAATAGAAAATGGGAGACAAAAGTAATGCAGTCAATTTTAAGTGATGGTCAGAAATACGGTTTTTTGATTTCGCCAACTGGTGAACTTTTACCTTACGAAAATTGCAAACAGGTTTACGGCCAATCACTCACTGATGAGAAATAAAAGAAAACCAATTTCAAATCAAAAGCATTTGAAAGTTTATTATCTATCCGATGGACGATAGAATTGCTTGATATTAAGTAGATGTTGTATAAGTGTCTCTCACATGAAACATCGTTTCTTGATACACCTGTTGCAGTCTTTAAAGTGGAACTCACATTAAGCTATACACTGAAGGAATACAACGAATAGAAATTCTCTATTGATACGATAACTTTCAACAAGTGCATGTTCATCTGCCATTAACCTACTAAATATCTCTGCCTCTTCGTGTGTTTGTCTGTCTGTCTATCCATTGTGACAGGTGTTTTTACAGACTTGGAGAGCACAAATAATCCGTGAACAAATTGGAAGAGGAGAGCTTGGAGTAGCGTCGGTTGGAGTAACATGTCTTCATGTCTCAAAGTTCACACAAACCCAAATTGATTGGTTTTGTAAGTGACATTGTTAGAATCACCTAAAAGAATATTCAGTTCAACAAGTAATTTCTAATTCCTCTGCTGGACTCCATACAGTTTTTCTCTTCGAGACGACGCTTCGATTCATAGTTTGTCTCAAAATTGGATTCAAAACATTTCGGCTGTTTGTTCCTGTACGGTAACAACTGATTTTTGTGCTGTTATCAATGTTGCTGGTTTTCACAGGAATTGAGTTTGGCGAAGAATCACTCCACTGATTTGGAGAAGGTGCATCCATTCTGGACTTGGAGAAATTTGACTTGGATACACTCCCATCTAATGCGGTCCCATTAACCGGATCCTCTGATGATGGAAGCCATCTTTCTCCCGGGCCCATGCGGTCAAATCCGTAATTCCCTGTGCCATCTTCCGAGTCTTGTGAGTGAAGCTCTAGCAACTTTTGTTGTTCTTGTTGTCGAGCGGCCAAAATATCTCGTTCCAATTCTTCCGCTTCACGTTTCAATTTTGCCCTTCGATTTTGAAACCAGGTGATAACCTAGAATACAAATAGATGCAAAGAATGGGATGACACTGTGAATCTAACCCATGGGTGTTCAAGGGTTTCCAAAACAGATGGAATCAAATGATCAAACAGCCCAGAGGTACACTTGTTTTCTGTCCTTCAGGTATCCGGTTTGATATGGAGAGATTAGCCATGCTTATGAAACATGGTACATCAGGAGCTACTGGAATATGTTTTACAAATACTCATTTCCAGTGCCTGATGTTCTGCAGATGACGAATTGCATTCAAAGTAGTCCATTACATAGCAAGTAATTGGGTTTCTCAAAACACAATTATAAAGGACATATTTTCCTTTTCAATTAATTCTCAAATTAGTCACACTAATAGCTTGATGTATTTTCAACTGATACAAGAAAATAGTCCCGCCTTTTTTTATCAAAGCCCCGGTTAATCGCTTCCGGATCTCGATCCATTGGAAGTTGTTCCACTCACCTCCATCTAGACCACTGTTAAGGATTCCAGGAAGCAAAGAGGGACATTTATCATCTCACCGATGCTGCAATCGTAATAAAATATGTCCAAACCAGTAAGTAGCAGAATGGCCTTTACGCTTTGGGTTGGATTGCAGTGACCTTTACGAGGCTAATGGATTTCGTCTCGAACAATGAGTGGTAAAATTGGGGGACCTTCAGGTGTGACGACAAACCTATTGACTAATACCACAGCACGGCAAAACTACATTTTGTAACTTAAAGCAACGTTCTGCTCGTGAATGACTTGAAATGTATGAAAATTGCTACACACAGTCAAAGGGATTGTTCAAAATAATGACGTTAGCCACACTTAAAAAGCTTATTTGAGCAAATTCGCACATTTATATGCTCTCAATATGAATGTCAACTAGTAAATGAATCTGTCAAGTCAAGTCATGCCAAGAAAAGCATTATGCTGCTTGCACACTGTTTTTCTAATATTTGCCAAAACCCGGATTAAATAGCTCACAACGTGTTCTTGTGAGTCGGACCGGCATACCACAACGAATGATTATAAGGCAGGGAAAAATACGTATTTCACAGCAACCTAATTTACTGCAAAACCGATCATATTTCTATGGTAAATTAAGGGTTTGCTAAAATAAATGGCCATATTCATCATTTGGTGGCAAACAAGCTTCTTGCTTGGTATCGTTATGTAAAATAAAAATCTTATTTTTGGAGGTTAAAAGTATTGTACGCTGTGGTAAGAAAGTTGTCGTTTTTTCGAGTAGATGTTTTGTAGAATTGTTTCGTGACTTCATGGCTGGGTACCATTTACAGCGTGATCCATACGATAGACTATTTAAATATTCCCCTATCTATCTCTGTCAAATTATCTATCTATCTATCTATCTATCTATCTATCTATCACTTCTTTGAACTGATTACTATGCTGTTCGAGTTCAAACTTATTTCAGACTAGACACTTGATCATACGTTAAACTTGGTTTCAGTTGACCATGACACTAGAATCTATCGGGAACTCAGATGATTACATTTTGAGATTTCGGAAATCGAAATTATAATCGCTATTTGTGTTCTGGAAGTGATTATTCATCAAGGATACAATTAAGGCTTTGTAGCTCACTGCCACGAAGAAACAAACTATCATATCACAAAATTTCAACCATCTAACTGTCACTTATATCCTGTTCCAGGTAAGTTGCAAGCTTTTCTGGATAGTTTGAATGCCATGTTTGGTATGTATTTTGCAAACTCTAGAATGTTGCTCCAAGTTTGGGTTGCTCCGTAACCTCACACTGACCGGGGAAGTAGTAGACGAAGTAGACAAATTTTGCTATCTGAGCAGCTATATCTCACCTGGCGAACACATCACAGTTGTAGTGTCACTGCGCATATAAAAAAATTGGTTGGCATTAACCAACTTGAGATATCTGTGGCGCCGTCACGACATCCGGTTGTCTGTGAAGGGTCGAGAATATGCTGCAGCAGTTCGGTCAGTGCTGCTTTATGGTGCAGAGATTTGGCCGTTACGAGAAAAGGATAAAAATAGATTGTCGGTGTTCGAACACCGCTGTCTACTTAGCATTGCGCGAGTCTGGTGGGGAAACTGGACGAGCAATGCTGAGGTTAGGCGCAGAGTTTTAGGTAATCGCGGTCGTCCACTGGGGCAAGTGGTCGATCTTCATAAATTGTTGTTTGGGACATGTGTTACGCATGTCACCAGATAGTTTGCCACGGCGAGTGATTTTTGCCGAAGCAGGTAGCGGTTGGAGAAAGATCAAGGGTAGTCAAACTAAGACCTGGTATGAGGGTATGAAAACCCTGACTAGGAGGCTGGCTCACATAAGTCCCGTTAGGCCTTCTGGCTGGGGACCCAGAGATCATGGTCACCGGTGGCTAGAGACACTGAGCGTTATGACTGGGTGTCGCAAACAGTGACGCTCATGCATCTACTCATTATTCTTGTAACTTCAGTCCATATAAATGCGTTATCTTTCGCCAATATTCCAATCTTCATCCTGCTGTTTTATGCAAATGGGTAACCAAAAGACAGGAACCAAAACCGGCGCACGAAAGTGCATGGTTAATGGTTGTAAGAACTGAAATGAACCGATATCTTGTTCAGTTAGCGTACATACACAAAAAGTAGCAAGAAGCAAATCCGATCACAAATATATAGAAGTCCTTTTAAGAATAAGACATCGCAAGATCGGAGGAAGAGTGAGGGAAATCTTCAATTTTTGAAACTTAATTAGGTGCTCTGGTAAATCAAACACACTCACTCAAACCTAGGAATCGACTGTACATTCCACCTGAAAGTTCTATAAACATTATTGCTACATGCAGTTCAGTGAAACAACTGTTCCTGCGAAACCAGAAGCGCCTACACTCGTAAATCGACCGGGAGATAGATATTAATTTGCTCTTGTTCTGTCAATATCTGGTTGTCAACTGTTTTTCCCTCAATTGCTGGCAAATTGTTAGACATGTACTGGACTAGTAAAAAACGTGTTTGAAGTTTGATCAGCCAGTTGGATTCAGTCATGTGCTAACAGAATTCCCGTGTTACGTAATTGGTTCACGTGGAATATGAAGTATCAAACACACTGTTAGGACTAATCAGAAGATAGAGAGAAACAGCTACAAAATTTGCTTATCCACAGCTAAAATAGTCCATGATTTTTGACCAAGATGGACGTGGCATGAGAAATATATTAACCCGAACCAAGGTGTGAATTCAGTGTACGGACTTTGGAAACCACCTTTGTGTTTATCGCTGGTCTATTGCCACAATTAAGGGATCATGTGAATTTCGCATCAACACGTCGACTGATGAATACCAGATTATTCTCAGACACTATAGAGGATTCGATAAACCGCGGGGGGGGGGACTAAATCAAACTCGCGATTCATTAGTTTGAAATTTCCGATATTGGGCTTGTATTGCAACGAAAAAGATTCACGCTCAGGGGCTCAAATAGCCATTGGGTGCTAAACAGATTTTGGTTTTCAGTTTGATGTGAAGTTCTTCATGCAAGAGGGTGGTCCGACTTTATTGTCCAAAATAGAAGGCTGAAACCACAGACACTATAATTTTGTTGCTTCATTTGTTTGTCAAAATGATCCTATAACAATGCAGCTACTTAGTAAAGTCACATGTATCGGGATGCACTGAATCCTTTAAAACCAGAACTGATCAATCAATTTCACACTGGCACACATTACTTTCGATGTAGTTACATTTTTGGCATTGTAATAATCCTATAAAACGCGAGCAGTATACCGACCTAGATAGAATGATTTCAAAATATGTAAATAAATATGATACATGTGATCATTGCTCCATATCAACCACAACATATATATGGTGATTCTATTAGTAGGTTCTATTAGTTAAATATCCTAAAAAAGTACGATTCCTTGAGTTCGATGACAGTTGCTGGTGCATCAGTTTCAAGTAAACAAAACATCAGTACCAAGCCGGCATTAATTATAAAAATGGCTCATAAGCATGATACAGGTATTGTAATTTCATTTTGTTATTATTATGTGTGCCTCCCCCCTCTTAATTTTGAGCAATGAAGCCAGTCGTTCTCTCATAGAATGTATCAAGTCTATATTCAAACAGCATTTGCCAGTTTCCTCTAATACATGCAACACCCTGGTGACTGACGACCACCATCGATTATATTTCATTTCAAACTGTCGGACCGTAATTGAATGAATTGGATATTGGAATTGACCCGTGCAGAAGAAGTTGTCTCTTTGATGGTGTTAATGTTTAGAACACACCACGGCGCACAATGTCTCCAGGTTAAAGCATCGGTGAACCTACTCCGATGAGAGCCAGTGAGACGGAATACCAGCTTTCACAAATCACGGGATCCAATTATATCTCAGATTAGGAACGCTGAAAACAGGTAGAATTCACATTTAATTTTTAAAAGATTGCCTTATGTTGGGCATAGTTTAGATCTTTGGAACATCCACGACTTAACTTTCGGAAAATTTGTGATGCTAGACGACTAACTAAACGAAACTTGGAGATTTTATCCATTTCGTGCACAAAAAGTACGACTAGTGCTCCGAGCATTGCGCACAAAACTAGTAATAGTTCCATTGGAATGCTGCTATTAAGTGTGGTCTTGAGGGAATGTTCACTCGTCTTACATTTGCTTTAAAAGCACATAAGAAGTCTCGAGTGGTGCGCAAAGTTAAGATAATCTTTATTTTATATACACAAATTTCATATATCAAGGAAGAGAAAACTGACCTGAGTGTTGCTTAATCCCAGATGTTTGGCTATCCGATCACGATCTGTTGGAGTGAGGTACTTTTGCCGATTAAAATTAGTCTCCAATTCGGACAGTTGCGAATTGGAGAATGTGGTTCGTGTTTTTCGCCGCTTCGTCATTTGACTGCCTCGGGTTAGAGTGCACAAATCAAGGCGATCCGTTGGACTGACTAGAATGGAAGAAATGCAGAAAATGCAGTTTGATATTGCAAGCACAATTGTCTGAGGTTTTAACCAACAAACAAACAAACAAGGAGTGAAAATTTGGAGGTGAAGTGTTCGGTGCATACCAACTTGATTTGTAGTCGTTTCACACAAAAATAACAATCCTGTGATCATGAACCCACAAATTTGTTGGGTACCCTACCTCGAATAATATGTGACCTACCATTCAGAGATACTCATCAATGAATTTTCAAAAGTACTTAATGCACATCAGTGAATCAAATTAATTAGCTGACTTACATCACGGTGAAGCCGAGACAGATCTAGCATAAATCCGGAAACGAGTCCAGTGCACCGCCTTTATTCAATAAGACTACACTGTTGGTGTTCTCTCAGTATATGAGCCTTAATTTGGAGTTCAAAACCTTACGTTGAAGAGTAGTAAAAGACCCCTAAAATACATTTGAAGTTCTTTCACTTTCGCCCAAGGCTCTAAATCTTAGCCAAAACCTGCCTTATGTAATAATAATGCTAATATTTTCAATCCCTTTTTATTAAATACAATATGAAAAGCATATTTTTGGAAGAGTGTAGGAACCAATTACTGCTGGGGGGAATACTTGCTGTGTATTTTGAATTCGTGGCTTTCAATTAGACATAATGTCGGCCTTAGCCGCTCGACAACCGGATCTGAATCGGCTCAACAATAATTATTATCTACATCCCTTCACATATATAGTGACTGGCAAATCCCAGCTGTACACATTACATATTTGGATATTTCTGTTTATGTTGAAGTCATTCCAATTTCATTTCACACCACTTATTCTCATGCTCATTAGAGTCAAAAATCCATGGCATTTATTAGTAGCTGAATGGAGAACAGTTCTGAGCGAACAATTAGCAAAGGAATTGATATTAACCTCGTTTAAAAACTGTATATGCACCTGAGGCTTGATGATGCTGTTGACACGTGTTCCAATTGCTTGGACTTTTGACTACAAGAACAAAAACATTCCGGAAAACCACTCCACTGGCTGGGTAAACGACGTCAAAGTTAAATTTGAAGTTCTTTTATGGGAAATACGTATAAGCGGTTGTTGTTCTTGCCCCAAAAAATTACGGTCTTAAAAGGATGAGGAATATCACAAATTATCCTTGTTTCGTGCACTTCCAAGGATGTCGAAATTTAAGGCTTACCAAATTATCATCCAGTTTTGCTTAAAAGAATAAATTGTGAGTGAATTAAAAACGTGTGGTGGCAGAGAATTCCAAATATTGCACACCCTGAGGACAAAAGAATGACTCCGGCATGTTTGAAGCCCTAACTTGAGTAAGTGCCTCCTAAAAATAAGTGTTGGGCGACAAGGTGAACAGTGAACGACTTGGGTGATCAGGGTTCTGTATTATTTGATACAGCAAAATCAAGTCCCTTGGAATTCGGCGATACCGTGTAGAGTATAGCTCCAACGCCTCGGGTCTTTCCACATAAGTCTTGGAGCACAGTCCTTTTGCTGTCTTCATGACCGTTCTCCGTGGGGATTGCAGGACCTTACGATTGAGTTGCAGCCATGGAATCCACACTTGAGTTGCATACTCTATGTGGAGTGGTATGTAGGCTGCTGACAAACATGTGAACAGCATAGGTTCCAATGTGCCCAATACTTGCATTAGAGAAACCAACATGTCTTACAGCGACGGACGACGCCCTGGAGCAGTTTAAAGAACAACTTATGTCATGTTGAACAATGACACCAAGATCCTTCTCATTTAAGACATACGGAAATTGTTGATATCCCAAGAAGTACGCAAACCGAGTTTTGTGGCGAAGAGTCACGACCGTACATTTTGATACATTGAGTTCGATGACGTTTGCGACCTACCTTAGATAAGCAGCATTAAATGTGTGAAGTGCCAGCGAGTTCTCGGGTTTTGTTACTGCTCTCCATATTTTTGCACCGTCCGCAAACATTAACGTTTATAGTTGCACAATGTCTGTTAAATGAAATGAGTCTTTAACTCCTTGGTGAAACCGCCCAGGCTATGTGAAGATGGCTACTCCTTAGTAGGCGACCTAGATCCGTAGCTTAATCCAAAAGCCATAAGGAAAATCTATTCAACTAACCGCAATGCATGGATGGATTCCGGAGTTGTATCCGTCTCTACTGTATACGGAAGTTGCTCTCACGGAGTCACCGGCAATCGTGCACCAACACGCCCGTGCCTTGGCAGGACATAATCGATTGTGTTTCCGCTTTGAAAAAGAGGAATGATAACCGGGAAGTCTCTGATATATATTTTTAAAATATTCATGTAGCTGGTTCATTCTGTTAAAGGTGCCGCGTGCAGTTAAACATTGGGGCAACTAACTGTCGGTCACTAACCAAAAATCGTGAAACCTGTGGTTCTGTGCATCGACTTAGCTAAAACTAATGCACTGCATGCATAAATCGTTAATTGGCTATTTGCTTCTTCATCTTAAATGAAATATGTTTTATAGAGATTGTTCTAAAGTTATCACATTTGCATGCACACACATCTATAGTGTTTTTTTGAAAAGTTCAGTGTGTTGCTTTGTTCCACTAATTAAAATAATCAGGAATATTTCTTGCAAACGTAGCTCTCAGCAGTTTAACTTCCATTGATCAGTATGGTGGGAGAAAATGTTATTTATATCACTCAGTATAAGGAGAACAGACCAAAATGAAAAATAAAATTCTGTTCAATTGTTGTAAAAAATATTTATGTGATTCTTCTGAACTCCAATTTTAATACCCCTCAAGACAATGGTTGAAGCATATAAGCGATTTACGGATTATATTCGCTGCTATTAAAACACCAATGGTACAGAAAACAAGTCTGTTTTGGTGACCTCCCTATTCCAGATAAAAATCTACAAGGATTGGTTAAATAAGTTAAGTATTATCTGTAAAGTTTTGGAGTAGTGCATGAAGAGAGGAGAGTCACTCGAGATCAATCCCGGAAATTTTCCGCTGAAATTTCCGACATCTTTAGCAAACCAAAGAGAGGTCTAATTTACATGAGGCTGTACGATCTTAATTCGTCCTAAATTTCAATCAATAAGGGAGGTAAGTTTAGTGTGTAAGATAAGTAGACTTCTGAGAGAGATAACCTCTCTGCTGATAATAACCAGCGCCTTCCTCGTTGTCCCTCACCGGGAAACGTGTAGTTAGCACGTTTTAAAGTAAGCTGTTTATAGTCAGGATATTTGTTTTTAATTATTCGATATTTTATTGCGATTGTGCTTCAAACACGGGGGACCCCCGATGTAAATCTGTATTTGTCTCATAGTAATTGAGAAAATAGTAGGTACTAGTTCATAGCTGCCTATTGAAAAAATAAAAGTAATAACTAAACTCTGCAATCAAATGACTCTTGCGACAGTTTAATTGAACTGCAGTTTCAACATCCTAGTGGAGATAAACCAATGAAATTATTTAATTTCAGCTCCATTGTATAGCTGCTACTTTTCAAAACAATATCCATCTGGGTTAAAAACTGCTAGGGCTCTGAATAGAAGCAAATCCGCCATCAATTGTTGGTTTTGACTCTACAGAGAACAGCTTTTTCCCCCAAGGGTTCATGAACCCAAGAGGATGCACACCAAACAAAAATACTTGAAACAATTGAGAAAAAGGAAACAACTATAACAATAAACTCAACTTGGGCCTATTTAGAATGACCACGATCTATGCGTCTGATAACGGAATCGAGGGGACCACACAACAGTTCAAACCGCCAAATGCGATGTGGTTCATCCTCATGCAGTGCTACGCCGCATCCCCACCCAATCCTGCCGAAATAGACTTACCCGTTACCACAGATGCCGCCGCATCAGTGTTTCAGTTCGCGTGCGGGATGCGAAAATTTATGCCCAGTTGAATACAACTATTTTTCCGCTTACACACATCACCTCTCCCCAGAATTGAAGGTAAATACATGCATGCGTACTTGGAATGGGTGATTTTTCTAGCTGTTTCATGATCAATTTACAGCTAAGCACCACCCGACAGTTATCAACGTCGGTGGGCCCACGTTCCTCCGGGGTGGCTGAGTTCGAAAAAGAAGCAAAAGAAGCATGTGGACTACTTACTTAGGCTATGACTGAAGTGACAGGCAACTGTTCGTTCGGCGCTGTGTAGGAGAACGTCATGCGCCTGTGGGGGTGTGGGTGGTGTAGGTTCGAACAAGGAGTAGTATGGGATTTAGGTGGTTAGTTCGAAAGACCTACTCCAGCCTGATTTTATGCGATCTAACCGCTACACACACAGAAACACAGAAGTCCGTACACAGACAAATGTATATCCACTCGTAAATTAGGTGAAGTTCAAGGGGGCTTATGGGCAGATAGAGGGGTGTCAACTGCTGCTACTTTGTTTCGTTCTACCACCCCTTTGTCTTCTTTAGTGATATACGGAACTACAAAGAATGAACTATGGAAATATCCGATTGTCTATTTACAGTCTACCGGACACTTAAAACCATGTATACTGCCTTCCAGTGCACAAGTGACTACATATGAGGGACTTTTAAGTTTATGCGCCCTGGAAAACCAGATGGAAGATCTATATGAGGAAGATTGTGGTTCAGAAAGTCACGCAAACCAAGCACATGGCTACCGTCACTACAAATTTGACCATTATTGTCGTTTACTTTCATTGTCATAATGCCGATTTACGGTTTACGTATGATTCAATGCACTCTTTAAAAGTGCTCTGAAAGCGGAAAGGTACACGCATAATTCGTTACCTCCCTGCTCGAGTTCAACCCGCAAATACCATCAGGCTACTACATCACAAAGTGTTCTGAGGTGGATTTTCTAATGTTTAGCGGTCATTTCAGTCACACCTCTAAAAGGTGTAAGTGCGAGAACATCTTCATAACTTTTCCTTCGGGATCACAAACCAATAAGCAAGATCATTTTTGAATTCATTCCGTTGGAGCTTTATTTTCACCACAAGCTTCCGGTTAAAAGTTATGGATC